ATGGAAAGCTCAAGTATAAGAATGACAAGAACGGAGATTACCGAACACGCATACCTGACGAGCAGCAAGAACCGGTCGTGTGCTCCAGTGAAATTTGGTCCAGTCATCCATATACTACAGATTATATACATATATATATGTGTTCTGTGTACTATATTACAATTCCAAATCCAGAAGCAGGTATGTGAGCGGTACCACTAAATTGAAACTTGTACTCTGAGGGTTTTGCGAAGGATTCGGATAACTCGGAGAACACTTTATTTACATTTACTTGAAAACAGATAGCGGAAAGCGAGATATGAATGGATCAAAAGGTTTACTTTCTCACCTGTTCCGCAGCTACGTTGGCTGCTTTTAGCATGCTATCCATATTTTGGAAGTATTCACAAACTCGTTTGAGCACCACACCTTTGCTCTGATAGTGTGATTTAGCTTGTTCGTCCGGAGGCAGCAATTTGTGCAATTCACTAATCCAAGTGTTGATACGATCCCGGCGTCTTCGTTCAACTNGAAAAAAGTGTTTGCAGGTAGCATGTCAGTATTTTCAATTATTATTGGTCGACGCGCGACACGTGAAGGAACTGAAACCGAACTACGTGAGAAATGAACCGAAAAAATAAAAAGACCTTCATCAACAATACACAGTAGACCCAGTAATTCTGGGGCATAGAAACGGTTATCTGATCGTTGTCTATGTTGTAATTAATAGACGCGCGTGCGCATGTCTTGAAGGGAGAGAGGAACCATGTGTCTATGGGTGCACCATAATACTGGAATTCCACTTTTTGGCTTTTGAAAAATGACCGCTGCTGTATGTCAAAACTGATGTATATACCATAAACAAGACGCCATAAACCAAAAATAAGGAATACTAGAGATTACAGTGAATACCCAATTCAAAAATGAAAGAAGTTAAGAATGGTTAAATGAGATTCAGACTGAGATTGAGAGCCGTGGATATCAGCTATCGACAGAAGGCCGGTTTTATGTTATCAATTTAGATGCCGTTTGGTCATTTTGTGATTGGTTTCTGCATTGGTCGTGGTCAACAGTGGAATTTTCAGTTTCAACAAGGTCGAATACGTGGCATAACATTTTCCTGGATTGCATCAAAATTTGAGCCAAATTGACCTTTGAAATGATAAAATCGCACTGTTTAATGTGCGTGAGGTTAACAATTACAAATGGTGAGTCACCGCGACAAATTCCAGAAGGTATGAAAAATTTAAACAATCAGAACGATTCCGCCTCGATTCGCGGTACTGAGATACTAAAACAGTAACTACATTGAATCTCAACTCAGTGCATTGTTAGAACAGTAGCCATTGGTAGTAATAAGTGCATATGTGAACTCAATTTTCAAATAGAGTATAGAAACGAAACGAAACGGGGTACGAAGAGGAGGGAAGACTGGCCGGGTGTACACAGTTCAGTGAGCACGTGACGGACAAATAATCTCTCATGCACATAAACCGTTCGTAAATGCACCGACGTAGCGCGGTTTTTGATAAAGGGGGAACATGTACTTTAAGTGTGACACGACTGGACCATAAGGGTCGAAAAAAGATGTCGACAAGAAAGCAGTCGCTTTTGTTTTCCAAGATTGCGCAATGACCCCGCAGAGCAACTCACTATCAACGATACGAGTGCAAGTGCGCAAAACTGTGGACCAAACCGAATGGCGCCGTGACACAGTACCCTCCTCAATCTAATCAACACCATCCAATGATACGCCATTGCTTTGAGGACCTTATCAATCACGGGTGAGAGCGCGTGAAACGGAAGATCAAAGAGCAAGTGCATTAATAAGGGAAAATTTTAAGCTTAATCTGTGTAAACAGCACATGGACACTATAAGGGACATTTGGAAATCATTTCGGAACACAGATGGGAGTCAACAGGCAGTGTGTAGGGAATCCTACTCCAAGTAAGCTTCCCTATAACGCCGATGGCAGTAATAATTGTAAGGAGCCTAAAGAGGATCAGTTTATAGTTCACTATATATATATATATATATACATATATATAATGTTTTTACACATTCGGTGCCCCAATAACCATGGGTTTAAAGCAAAATGTGGAAACAGAAAGATGGGGGGTGGAAAAAAACAGTAAACTTTGGGATTAACATTTTTTTGTGTTTACTGGCCGCCATTTTGGGTTTATTACCGGGGATCGCACGTAATGAGCCATTTACATTTTTACTTCCTTTTATTGAATGTACAAAGATACAATTTTCAGGAAGGGGGAAGCGGTCAACCAAAGGGCTGCCAGTAATCACACAATAGGGAACGCTAGGCGGTGGTGGTGGGATTCGAACTCACATCCCTGGGGTGATAATTTGGTGACATTACCACTGGGCTACCATCACCCTTAATTCATCGAGAAATTAAATCGGTGAACCAATGGTGATTTCACCCGCAAGCAATCATTCCTATTGCGATAAGAACTAAACGGTTTGACTAAAAAAGTAGGCTACATTTTTGTGAGTCACAACATCTGGATTTAGTGTATGCACTTGAAAAATAAGACAAAAATAGAGAGAACTTGGAACCGATCAATTCGTCCAAACCGTTATATTTCAAATGAACAATTTACGAGGGGAACCATCGGTACGCACATTTCCCTTGTAGTCCGAGAGCGACGCGTAGAATAGCCTGATGCATGAAACCGCGTGCACCACTGTGTGTAGTTTATCACACGAAAATGCACACACACAAGATGGGTAAGAAGCAAACACGACACGGGGTCTGTTAGATGTACACGTGCGACTGGAGCACCATGGAAAAACATTACATTCCTATCCACTCTATGCACATACAAACAAAAACATGCACACAAATCAGCTGTATTCACGGGCAGGCATACAGGTTTGATCAATCAATCGATCGATCGATTGATTGATTGATCGATCGCCCGTGTTCCACGATTGGTGTCAGACGATCAGAACGAAATTCGCATGCGAATGACTACGAGCATGGCACAGACATGCGTACACGCAGGTCATTACAGGATAGGCAGCACGTGTGTTTGCATGTGTGCAAAGAGCTATCGCGACACGTAGGTGCACGTTATAGCTAGGATCGTCATGCAATTGGTAGGATTAGGCTGCGCTACACTATGCGAAGCCACGCAACCGAATCAGCTGGTTTGAGACATGATGAAGGCTGATCGTAATCGGATCAGCTGAGGTTATGCACATACGCATATGCATGCATACAAACACGAGACGCGAGAAATCGCTAAGCGCCAGTGTACACAAATCCATCAAGTGCAGTGTTGGTAAACGCTCTAAACTGTACAAACACGTGTGGCTGTGCACCTGTGCACATAAGCACACACAGACAATTGATTTTCCCCTTTTCCGTCCATTTGAGTGCAAGCGCGAAGCCTTATCATCGAAGCGGTGATGAGATGAACATAGTGCAAATTCAAACTATCGCTTCAGTGCCGATAGCCGACACTCCTCACCCTCTCATTCTCGACATGCATCCTAGGGTTCGTTAGGCTATTATGCACGTTCAACAAATGCTAATCAGATCAGAGACGTGGCCGACATCACCTCCAGCGGCGCACAAAATAGCACAACAATGACCGCTCGACAACATAAGACAGGCTGGAAAACCCTGGACAACGGGTTCTTCAATGTCCTTATGCAGGTGAGAAAGGAAGCCCATGGAGCAGAATAACAAAGCCTCGTGATCGCCGGAGCTGTGAGGTCACGAGGGTATGAGTGTGCGTATGTGCATAAGCAACTGAGTGCGCTTGGTTACGGTGTTAACAGCACCCATAGCGTGTCGTCGTGTCAGATCAATTGTCCTCGCTTGTTTTGTTTCCAGTTAATGAACACCACATCCCACAACCACACCGATTATGAAAAAATGAGTACAATAGGGAACAGAGTGGCCCTATCGGGTCAGCAGACAAGCAGGCAGAGTTTTGACAATATGCTTGTCTACCACTACAGTTGACACCGTGCAATGTGCCGGGACGACAACGTGCAAAACTGATCAGTGCACAGCGGAGAGTGGTAACACAGTAAATGGATAACAGAACAGAACAGAAAGGCTGGAGAACAAATGATCCCAACGTAGAAAATAAATCCTGTTGACCTAACGGATGATGAGCTGTGTTGATGTGAATGTGTGTTCAGAGAAGATGAGTGGGACAAACAATAAATAGAGATGAGATAAACATAACTGTGCTGCAGACTAACCTTCATTATGACTGACTCGACGTCGTATATCTTTCGACTCGGGATTCAAGTGTTCCAAGAAAGCAGTTGGTCCTGCAAGGAGGCCGAAAAGTTCATTAAAATTATATACAATCGGCCACTCTAAAAATCGGACTGCTGTGAAAAGCTGGAAATTCAGCTGAGTCTAATCGCACTTTTAGAAGCAAAAACGTCAAGATGTGACTTCGCAATCACCGCATACACAAATTAGATAATATGACCGATTCACAGACTTATTTAGAAAAGCAGAACTTGATATGCATTCAGTTGAGGATTTTTATAGTGAACCACTGTAGCATACATGCAAACTACTTAATAAGACCTGAAGTTGTATTAAAATGTAGATGAATATGCAAAATGATGTGTATACCGCGGGAACAGAAATTAACTAACCGGTAATGAAGTGGGCAAATGGCGAAATAAAATGTTTAGTTTGAAATAACTGGTCTCTGACGGTCTAACCATAGACACCGTTAAATTATTGATTTAACGTGATGATTTATTCACAAAATTGCAAGACGACGAAATCATATCGAAGAACTAAAAGGTGAAACAACTAGGCTTACCTGGATCTGTACGCCCACCAGCAGTTGGTGCGTTAGTTGAAGCAGCTGCTGCAGCGGCAGCAGCAGCCGCAGCGGACAGGAGGGTTCCAGTCATGTTCCGACGGCAATCGTCTAGTTGACCATTGCTTTTCCCATTTGATGGCAACAAGTTTGAAGGTGAGGCTGCAGCAACACTAGCAACAGATGATGCTCCAGATGAAGCAGCAGATGAAACAGCAGCCGCTGACACCGTCTGGAAGGCTGGATTTGTACGTGACAGTGTGTTTGATTGAATCAAATGTCCACCGTTACTAGTCCCCCCGTTGGTATTACCCGGATTAGTGCTGCTGTTGGTGTTCGCACTATTCACGATTGATGCGTCCCCAGCAATAGTGGGACCACCTGTGCTAACTGCTGTAGACACAAGTGTAGACTGGGCTGGAGATAACAGTAAGGAGGCGGGAAGATCTTGTTGGAAGAACACCGTATTGGTCGCTCCGGCACTGGAGGCCGCGGGAATAGGAGCGGCTCGCACTGAAGCAATCGGAACTTGGTGGTTTCCCGACTGTGCGTAGGCCGGATACGATCGAAATCGTGTAACATCTTCCACTAATGAGGCATAGGGATGCCCGTTTGGTGTGTACATATCCGGATCCGCTAACACGGGACAATTCGGGAAACAAAACAAGAGCTAAAGTGATTGCAGTAAGGATAGAGCAGAATATCACGTTAATGGGTGGCACGTAGTTGGAAAAGTGTGCTCCGACACGCAGATTATGTCACCCAAAACTGACAACCAAAGCGAAATCGATCCGTTGAAACCAACAAATACCTCAAGCACCAACACTATCGCCACGATCGTTTTCAAGCCCAGCGCTGCCACCACTAACACTATTTTTGTTTGTGGTGGTGCTGAATTTGGTGTTGGCAGTCGTGCTGTTGTTATTGTTTTTTGTTGTTATGGTGGTGGTGGTCTTCGTGTTTCATACGCACAGCCACATACGTATCAACCAATGCACCTATCCACACATGAGCGCACATGCTCAAAGACAGAGATGTACACGTACACAAAGTAAATGCACGCAAGTAGTGTGTTGCGCAATCACGCGCGAAACGCACACAAACGGAGCAAATTGACCCAACAATAAGTAGGCGCGGGGCCGTGTTGAGTCCGAGGGAGCGACAACGGGATTCGAATATATGTGATGAGAAACCCACGCATTAGGAAAGAGCGTGAGTGCACGCGGCAGTCAATAAGGCGAAGTAAAACTTACAGCGGAATGATGATTAGGCTGATGGTTGTATATAGGCTAGGGTGCAGCTGAGAAAGCGCCTATTTCATTTCACGATCCATGAACTCATTTACTTACCAGCTCAGATTACATCATGCACCAATATACGCATCGAGATGAAAAACGAGTAAAAGCATACGCACATTTATGGGATAGCGCAGGAGAGTAGACACGTTAAGAGACATGCCCATACTTTAGAAACGACTGCGAGTAGCCAGATTTGCATATATCGACAATGTAAGAGTAACGGAGAGGTGGTTGGAGGAAATAGTGAAAAAAACGACTCGTTATCACAAGGATATTTAGGACTCAGGAGACTCGATACCATGTCCAGTCGGTCATGTGGGGTAGTCTCTCCGCATAGAAGAATGTAAGATTTGTGAATTCAAACGAAAGGAAACTGCAATTTTTATTTTTGCTGTGAAGCTTAATTGTTGGTTTGATGTGTTGGGTACGACTGATCTACACACTCTTACTCAGTTTTGTTAGGAGGGTTACTACCCAAACGTGATGCTGTCACAAATACCGGTTTGACTTTTGACAACGAGCTGGTAGAAGTCAAACGATTCATGTTTGGTGTGAATAACTAGCAACTTTGTTTAGTTATGTTTGGTGCAAGAAACAGAAGGACAATTCATTAAAATGTCCCGGGGAACCTTTCCGCAGGAGGATATTGGAAAACGTCAGAAAAACTCCCCGCTAAAACTTAATTGGCATGAAATAATGCGTGTATACCCGAGAAAATAAATAGACCAATGATGCTGAGATTAAATAAATGAAATAGAAATCTCGATGATTATCAAGGCTTACATTTGATGGCCCCCAGTAACGAGCTGACCCCATTGACGGTCGGTGCATTGGTATAAACAGACGACTGATCTGTAGACAACAAGTGTCCTGATTCGGAAATAGTGACTCCCGGAATATTTAACGGAAGGCGCACTCGGGGCGAATTGGGCAAAACGGAGTCGGTAGTCTGAACAGTGGCTCGTTCTGTATTTGTGGACCAGGTAACGGGTGCTGTGACAGGATTTGTGTACCGCGATTGTTGAGATGGTTGACTGCGCACCTCCAATCCAGCGATTAGTGTTGATAGTGCCGTCGTGGTGGCCGAGCTCATTGGAGCCAGTACAGCACCAGCTAACTGGGCCGGAAGTGCCACATGAACCGACTGAGGTGTATTAGCGCCAGTTGGTGTGTGGTTATGTGACAGAGTTGGAGGTAGTGGATCGCACGACTCATCTGGTTCAACACCAGGGGAAATGGCTTCTAGAATGGGTGCAGTACTAGCTCCGGTTGAGTTAAGGAGAGGGGATGAGGCAGATGTTAATGTAGTTGACCCTGGTTGATTGGCCGAGGCGCGGGACATGATTACGGGACAATCACTTGGGACTAATAGATAGAGCTGGCGCGTTGATCCGTCGGGTGACTGGCCTAATAATGTTTGCTGAAATGCATAAACAACAGGAGATAAAGATCAGTGCGTGCAAACAGGAAATCGAATGCAGTTAAAACAAAACTGCTAAGATGAAACCTTAACATGTGACTATTGGGTCAGAATTATTGTATGGACCAAGTGATTAGGAAATCGTTGTCTAACGCTGTTCAACGTATCCGACGCCTGTATCACAAAATACTGTGTTCACACAGAATAAACAAAGGTGGTCTACTTAGAATAAAAAAAACTTCCACAAATGGTTACAATTACGCTTCGACCTATATCATTTAGGTCATGATTCTCCTTTAAATCTCCTAACATTCGGTATCATTCAATGCCTTATTTATTAATCATCAGGACTAGCTTCAACTGCAGTGCGGTTATCTTATGTGAGCGACTGGAACAAGTGAGCGTTTTCAAAAAGGGGCCCATATTTCCAAGTACAGTGCTTTAAAATAGACAACAAAGAATGGATCCGAAGCTGAAATTTGACACGATACGAAACAGACTCAGGTATTCAGTAAACACAGCAAACAGCTAAGCATAGAAACTTGTTATAACGCGGACACCATTCTTGGCAGCGATCAGCGAAGTTCACTCCACTGTATCTCGCTGTATGATGACCCCATTGGAAAGTCAGGAGATGCAGAGGAACCAATAAGCGCAGAACAGACGACAATTCGTATAAAGTAATGAGAGCATTTGGAAACGTAAAAAGTTCGCTGCAAACTGGAGTGATTTCAGTTTGAACAACCATTAACCATGCACTATCGTGCGCCGGTTTTGGTTGCTGTCTTTTGGCTATCCATTAGAATGAGCAGTCGGGGAAAGACAGGAAGGTTGAGTGTAGAATCGGGGAGAAAATTGAGAACTTCAGTGAACTAATGTTGCAAAGAAACTGAGAATATGCACCAACGCCACTGTTTACAACACTCAATGTCGCTAACCATCGGGTACGATCATCCACCCCGAAGTCCCCATCTAGGGGACCAAACGGGACCTATGTGACCCAGACTCCTGGTTAGGGTTTTCTTACTCTCATTCCAGGTCTTAGCTTGACCACCATGGGCTTTATTCCACTCACTACCTGCCTCGGCAAACCTCGTTCGCCGTGGCAACCTATGTAGTGGCATGCGTAACACATGCTCCAGCCAACGTAATCTACGGAGGTCGATCACTTGCTCCAGTGGGCGACCGCACTACCTAAAACTCTGCGCCTAACCTCAGCATTGCTCGTCCGGCTGCCCCACTAGATTCATGCAATGCTGCGTAGTCAGCGATGTTCAAACACCGACATTCTATCTTTATCCTGCCTCCATAATGGCCAAGTTTCTGCACCGTATAGCAGAACGGGCCGAACTGTCGTGGCATACACTCGACCCTTCACAAACAGCGGGATGTCGCGACGGCGCCACAGATATCGCAAGTTGGCATATGCCGACCGAACCTTCTGTATGCGAGTTGACACTTCATCCGTGATGCGTCCACCGAGTGAGATATAGCTGCCCAAATAACAAAACTTATCAGCTTGCTGTATTACTTCCCCAGATGTAGACAGTCTGGGTGCCAGACCAACCCAGTCTTGTAATACCATTTTTCACTTTGAAGGTGCAAAACGCATTTCGAACATGGCTTGCAACTTACCTGGATCTTACCTTAGTAGCACAATGTCATCTGCATCCTCTAGATTAGACAGCCTGCCACCTGGGAGTAAATCGATGCCGCTATTCTCGCACGAGGATAACACTGCTTCCATAATCAAATCTATAACAAAGTTAGATAGAAACGGAGAGGGAGGACAACCCTGTCGAACACCCCTTTCCGTGGTGAACTCGGGCGAAAAAGTGGAGTAATGTAACTTAGCCAATGATACGGTCACATACCCGAGCAGCGGATGACATAAACTCTCCACTAGCCATCAGCTGTTGTAAATCTGAAGAGCTGAGAATCGACCCAGCTGCAGGTTGTAATGAGATGAACGCAGTGGGTGCTTGAGACGCCCCGGATGCCGAATCCACGGCCATATTGTGCCCATCTGTGGACAAAGCATCCGTGATAAGCAGTGCTTCGCCCGAAACTGACTGAGGACAAGGCGGGGACGGAGAGAGTGCTTCAGTGGAGGTGGTTATAACTGATGCGGGTGCGTAAGTCAGTCGGGGCGGAGAGCACGGTCGTGATTCCCTGGCACAAGGTAATGTGGTTTGACTCGGTTCGGATGTGGTAACAGTACCAGAGACAGGAAAAACAGAATTGAGTGGCAACTCAAGCGGGGTGGTCGGTGTAGATCGTGACGAGCACTGTTTTTGAGTTTCACGGATAAATGCGGCCAAACCTGATTGAAAAAATAGTTTCACAAAAAATTCCTATCGAAAATGTCTCAAAAGATAAACAATTATGAACAGCTTTCAGCACTACAACGAATTTCGAAAAAACGAGCATTTGAAAAGCAACTGATTAAATCTCTAAGGAATCACATTAGCTACTCAATTATTCTGGGTAAGCGACAAGATCGCTTGGGTGGGAGTCCAATCAGAACTCTCAGCTAAGTTGGGTATATGTCTTCAGCCCTCTGCTTTTCTGTGTTCAGATCCCGCTCTCGCTACTTCATTACCCCGTTCATTGATCTGCCCCGGCCTGGAATATTGATTGTGGCGATTAGTGGTCGGAGGGTTAAAGTGGATCACGACATAACCTAGCGAAGATATTCAAAGTTAGGTGAGTGAACATATATGGGTTGGGTCTAGCGATCTTCAATGTTCTGAAACTCGGGACGAGTCCAACCGATGGTAGAAACTAAGTGATGTGGTGGCATCGTTAATGGAGACATTCGTGCACTTATTCACTTTCCTTACGCATCCAGCATTTTATTCTAACCTTTGTAGGAATAACAGTCTATGAGCCCAGTGCTCATTCTCGATATTTCTGTTTGGATTGTTAAGAAGTAGTAGTAGCCCAAACCGAAGCATCGGAGATCGGAATTACTGTTATTACCAACTGAAACTAGATTGTTACCTTACTGAGAGACAATTACGAGAAAACCGTGTTTTGAAGACGTATTATCTTCATAGAATACGATTTAGAAGAAACATAACCCATGGGATTAGTTAAGTTTTGCTAGCTTTGTAATGAAGTTACGGCATAAGCTGCTTCTTTGAAAACCCTGGGTTGGAATTAGAACACAAAGAACATTTCCCGATTGGATTTGCATTTCGCCACTTCGAGATTTCAAAAATTCACCAGTAATTGACTCACTCATCGCTGTTTATCTATATGTTGAGAATAGACGACCAGTGCACGTTATTCGTGGTCCTAGCATTACATACATCAAAGGATCGCCCAAATGTTGTGATGAGCGCAACACAGCAGTTTATTCTAGAAACGCAAGTTGAAAAAACTACTAAACGACAGGGCGATGGATATCACAATAACACAGCTGTTTGACAGGTGTGGTTCGAAGTTAGCATCTAGTACGATGGAGCAATAAACATGAAACTACACGCCCATATGCACAAACGATATTTTTACTAATTTTACTTGAAAAACGCTACAGCTCGATACTTTGTGGAAGTGAAGAGTTGAAACGGATGGTTGGTAGTGGAATGAACACGTTTATAACCATGGAAGACTAAATAAGCAATTGGACGTGAAACTTCAAGTTTATTTCATAATTTGATCCCGTAGTTGAATGAATAGAGTTGTGAACTTACTGTGGAAATCAAGCACAGCCCGTGTGACTGGTGTAGTAGCCGTGGAACTGTTGAGTTGTGTTTGCGGCGAGTGCGTGGATGTGAGCGTTTTAAACAACAGTGGCGGAGAAGCCGAGTCACCCGGATCCGAGTTTCCATGTTCTACGGCCATGGCTATCAAATCGTTGGCGGGTTGTGTCAGAGGTGATGGTGAACTAGCCACGGGAGCTGATGCACTACTGTTCGTTGTTGTTGTATCTGCACATAAAGCAGATATGGCAGACATTGCGTGGTTCATTTCTTCTGTGGTTGATGCAGAAGTA